AGCTGCATTTGAACAGTGCCTTTGAATGTTTGGGTATACTTATAAGAGTTTGTCGTCGAATATTCAAGTTATGTACATCTGTTCTGAATGAAAGTTTCTCATGAAGATAAGGAGGAGTTTTTGTTTTCAGTAAATTGAAGCATAGACAGGCCAAGTGCAGCTGTCTTCGGTTATACATGTTCAACCACTTTAGTTCAGTCAATTTATGTGAAGTGTGTTGACCTTTTCTAATTCCATAAATAAGGCGAATACATGAATTCTGCACTTTTTGAATGCGACGAGACTCAATACTACCTAGACAGGGACCATAAACTGCATCACAATGATTAAAATGGGAAAGAACTAGACTATCACAAAGCATTTTTTTAACATCAGTAGTTAAAAATTGACGTTGTGGATATATTAGTTTTAGGGAGGCATACGCAGCTTTAAGTTTATTATTGATATGTGAAGTGAAACTTAGTCTAGTATCTAAAGTTAATCCAAGATTTTTACACTGAGTTTTGAAAGGTATTAGTGTGTCGCCGATTTTGAGTGAAATATTCTCATTACAATGCTGCTTTTGAGTTTCTTTACAAAAAATCAGTGCAGAACATTTATTTGGATTAAGTACGAGAGCATGGTCAAGTGATAACGTATGAAGTGCAGATAGATCATTATTAATAGAAGTTTCAGCATCTTTTATTTCTGAGATGTCAAAATAATAATACAATTGCGTATCGTCCGCATAAAAATGATAATTGCAGTTATGTAAACAGTTGATAAAGTTAGAGGTATATAACGTAAATAATAATGGACCTAAAATACTTCCTTGAGGAACTCCAGACAGTACCTCCAAAGTTGAGGATTTTTCATCACCAATTTGTACAAACTGTACCCTATCTTTGAGATATGAGCCTAATAAAGAGCAAGCTGATACACTGAAACCGAAATAATTTAGCATTGAAATGAGTATATTGTGATTTATTAGATCAAAAGCTTTGGAATAATCCAGTAAAATCAATATGAATACTTTGTTTTTATCCAGTGAATGGATGATTTCGTCAGTTACGTCAGCAAGAGCACTATTGCAGCTATAACCTCTTCTGAACCCAGATTGTTTCAAGGGAAGAATATTTTGGGTTTCGATGTATTCCTTCATTTGAGATTCCATTATCCTTTCAATTATTTTAGAGAAAGTGGGTAAAACACTTATAGAACGCAAGTCATTGAAACATGTTGGTAGTTGAATTTTAGGTAGAGGTATTACCTTAGCAATCTTCCATGTGATGGGAAAGTAATTATTTTCAAGGCATTGGTTAATTATGTGTGTGATGAAAGGAATTATAAAAGGGCAGCATAAATCAATAATTGTAATATTAATATCATCAACACCAACGGCCTTAGATTTAATGTTTTTAATAACCTTATAAATAGTTTCCTCAGAAACAGGCTGGAAGCTAAATGTTGAATTAATACCTTGCTTCAAGTTATTACTATAATAGTGGATTAGTTGTTCATCAATAGGTCTAATACTTTTTGATGATGAGATAAAGAATGCATTGATGTCTTCAGCATTTCGTAAAGATTCCGGTATCTCGTTATTTTTAGTCTTTGATACATTGAGTTTTTTCAGTTCTTTCCACTGTTCTTTATATTCAGAATTACGAAATTTAAAATTCAAAAAAGCTTTTTTTTCTGCGTTTATGGCATTGGTAGTAAAATTTCTAAGTTGTTTATAATAAGACCAATGTTCTGGAACATGAGTGTTCTTAAATCTTCTCAGTGCCTTATCTCTCAATTTCTGCATGAGTCTTATATTCTCTGTAATCCATGGTGAATACTTTTTCATATTTACAAAACAAGATTTTTTGGGTGCATGAATATTCAATAAATTAATAATATTGTCTGTAAGAAGTTGAATTTTTGATTCAATGTCAGTTGCTGTTAATATGACGTGCCAAGGCATTGAAATAAGATCAAGTTGGAATTTATCAATGTCAATCTTATCGATAGAACGATATGTAATTTGTTTCTTGAAATTCGAGCTGGCAATGTTCAGTTTAACTTGACATGCAATAAGGCAATGATCAGCTATCAAGTTATCATCAACTCTTGGAATACAGTCAGAAATATCAAAGTTAGTGATGATAAGGTCTAAAATAGTGGTATATCTTGTAGGCTCATTTATCAACTGGATAAAATTGAACGATTCCAGAATAGAGTTGAATTGCTGAGTATTTTTGCAATCAACATCAAACATATTGATATTAAAATCTCCAACACATATTATGTTATTAAAAGATGAGAAAATATTAGAGAATGTATCTTCTATCTCATTGAAAAAATTACTCAAATTAGATTTAGGAGGCCTATATACAGTACCGATAATTATTGTAATGTCTTTTGAAATTATTAATTTTAACCATATGTGCTCAATGTAATCTTTTTGTTCATAAAGAATTATCTCAAATTTATATTTGTTTTTAACATACATACCAACACCACCACCATGAGTTGGTCTATCATTACGAATAAAAGTATATTGATCGTATTTTCGTCAAGCCACCAAATAAAATAGCAAATAGACGAAGCACTTTGATTATAGTTTATGATGAAACAAGCGACAATTTTTATTCATCGCTAATCAGGGTTCCTTTTAGTAACTCTCTCGATGACATTCTTTCTCGTGAATTTTCTCGAACATTTCAAATAGGGAATTGTACTTTTTCTTAATCAACATCAAAATATAGGTCATTATGTACAGATAAATGCTCGACATACTACGCCTTGCTTTCATTTTCAATTAAAAAATCATTCAAGTCATTTATTAAGGTTAGGTTGATGAAAGAGACAGCATTGCATGATTTTCCAATTCGAAATAAAAGCAAGAGGCGTAGTGTGTCAAGCATTTATCTGTACATGTCTGTACATAATGACCTTTAATGCTGAAGAATGCCAATTGAATTACTAAAAAAAATACTAATCGGCGATGAATCATAATGTTCGCAAGTTTCATCAATAACTAGTCAAAGTGTTTCGCCTATTTGATATTTTATTAGGTTTCCTGAGCAAAATTCGATCGATGACGTCAAAGTATCGCCATATTGATTTTAGAAAAATATATCCTGCGTCGCCATTTTGAAATCGCATGTCCACTTGTGATATGTAATTGAGAAGGGATTTTTTGCGCTCTATCGAATTGCGTAAGAATATCTACAAAGTTCCATTTCATTCTCGACCTAGATCAATCAACTGAATGACGCTCTGTCCAATGACTTCGTTTTCGCGCGGTATGTGTTCTTCACAATATCAGTAGGCATAATATATTTAGAAAATCCTCCAATTTGAACTACATCTTTCATTTTTGACATCCTTCTATAAGATATAAGATTGTTGGCGTATACTTTATAATCATTTATGAACTAATATCGTTTGTTATTCATTTTCATTAGCCTCATTGTGTATGCTTTATATAAACATACCAGTGCCCCGTTTTCTGTTTCTTATTTCACTAATATTTCATATGATTTTTTTGTGAAATTACTTATTATGTGATTCTACATCCTGTTGAAATAAATGCCTCAACTTTGAAAACACCCTGAAATACCTTTGTAGGGGTCGTTAGGTAGCAGAAGTTCATTGCAATGCACCAGGGCAAAATATGTATTCTATACAATATCTAAGTGAGCATAATATGTTGAAAATCCTCTAATTTGAACTATATATTTCATCTTTGACATCCTTCTATCAGAACCTTGATTATGTTCACTATCAAGATGAACCATCCTTATGAGAGCAAGGAAGCCAGAAATTATATTCAGTAGGTGGCGGTCATCTATAAGCAAAAAGGTGAACTACTTTTTGTAGAGTAGGGTACAGATCGGTAATCAAGGTAATGCAAAATATATTCCTAGTTTACTTTTAGACTTTTTATGCAGGAAGGGATGTCACATCAGAGCCGGATTAAAATATTTTTATAACAAGTTAGGGATTATCTGCTTCAGAAAGAAGGATACTACTAGATAGTTCAGCAACTTGCAGATAGATGGACTCGAGCAGATTCCGGTAGTATAGGTCGCGTGCACGATGACCGACCCTGGAGGTAAAATATTGAAGCACAACCTCACTCTTCTGTGAAACATTGAAACACAACCTAATTTTTTTATTTGTTTACAGAGGAATCAGAGGATTGAAATAGTTTTCCACAATATTATGGCATACGAATTGTGTTTTTTGCGCTAATCATTAATTCAAGCATGCCTTCTCATTGTGCTGTTGTACAATACACAAAAGATGCAGCGAGAGACGAAGGAATATGACTTTTCAGGTAAATAGTAATCTCACATAGTTTTCATCATGAAATGTTGTCATTTCTTATTAAAATTCCTTCTGCCACTTCTGCAATAGAAGCTAATACTGCTAATAGATTGAAAATGTATACAACACACACGATCATATTTCGTCAGCATGTCACACCAGTCCTCCCGTTTGAATGCATGAATCCAATCTTCTTGCATTCTTTTAAAAATTTCACGAGTATTTCTATTAGCTCCTATTGCAAAAAGAATTCCGATGAGAAATCAGAGAAATTACCAAATTTCAAAATGAAAACTATATGTGAGTGACTATAGTAGGTACTTACTTTTAAATCATAATGTACTAACCGGATTCCTTCGTCTCTCGCTGCATTTTTTGTGCATTGTACAACAGCACAATGTGATGGTATGCGCGAATCAATGAATAGCCGAAAAACACGATTCGTATGCCAAAATAATTGTGACAAACAATTTCAATTATTTCTAAAAAAATAAGAAAAGTGAGGTAGTGTTTCAATATTTCACCTCCAGGGTCGGTCATCTGACAGTTCTTGCACGCGGCTACAAGAGGGTGGATCATCTTAGTTAGTGCTAATAATCGAAGATTAGAATCAAGTACCCGTTAGCATTGGGAAACGAAAAAGTGCCATAGAACTTCCGACTCCGATATTTCGAGGCAGACATACGACGCTTACCACTCACCCATGTCTCCACTACTTGACGATTCGGTAAAAGATGGTGTACCTTCAGTCCACGTCGGCGTGGAGCCCTCCACCGACGTGGGGGGCGTCCAGGCCAGCCCTCTCGAGTGGCTGGAGTGGCCGGCGCCCGAGCTGCCCGATTCCACGCTCAGAGACGACTTGTTTTCAGATCTGGATTCCAACTTTATATCGGTTATGCTGGAAAATACGAAATTTCGATGGCAGTGAGTGACATGGTTATAATCGGTCTAATCGGTGAGAAAATTCATTTTTTCTGTGACGGGAAGAGTTTGACATTTCATCTCTGCTGACAGGTTATAAAATGTCACTTTTCATAAATCACTTCTTTCCCGTGAGAAAAAAGTGAGTACTTTTCCCCCGGATATATACAGGGTGTCCCAACATTGCTGGGACACAGAGCTACCACGTATAGAAGAGGTCAAAATAAGTTGATTGGACCCAATTTATTTATGTGCCAAAATGTATCGTTTGTCCGTGAGAAGGGTTCAAAGTTCACATAAAAAACACATTTTTGAATGCTGTTCAGAAACAGTGAAACGAATTTGATGGAATTTGGAATCTAAAAGAAATTGTGGAAGGGTTAAAACCACCCTTACCCCATGAAATTTTATTTAGAACTTTTTTAGGGGTCATAATACGGTTCTGAAATTTTTTGAGCTTGAAAACTAATCAATTACCTTAATTTTCTTGCTCTTGTACAAATTTCATATACAGGCTGACTGACAAAAAACGCCCCGATTCCTAGCGCCGCTATTTATTATCTGATTTCAAAAAACAAAAAAGCAAATGAAATGACTCATGAGATACAACAAGGTGGCACTAACAATTTCTTTATCCAATTTCAACTATAACGACACCCATTGTCAACTTTTTTTTTTCAGATGGCATTGTATATTTTCTAATTGTTTTCTGATAAAGATTTTTTTTCTGAATACAATGATGTATCACACATGAGGTCTAGCGGGAAAGATTACAGAAATATAGGGTGTTCAAAATCGAGATTTTTCAACTGTAGGATTTTTTTTGTGTCGATACTATTCATTTTTGGTCAAAACGGCTTGCATGTGCCTATCTCAACTTCTGATTCACTATCTACTGACATTTAGTTGGAACAAATACAGGCTGGTTCAAGAAACAGAGAATTCTGATCACCCTGTATCTGTTCAAATTAATGTCAGTAGATAGTAAATCAAAAGTTGAGATAGAGACATGTGAGCCGTTTTGACCAATAATGAATAGTTTTGACACAAAAGATCTTAAAGTTGAAAAATCTCGATTTTGAACACCCTATATCTCTGTAATCTTTCCCGCTAGACCTCAAGTGTGGTACATCGTTGTATTCAGAAAAAAAATCCCTATCATAAAAAAAATTAAAAAATATACAATGGTATTTGAAAAAAAAAAAGTTGACAATCGGTGGTTATAGTTGAAATTGGAAAAAAAAAATTGTTTGTGCCACCTTGTAGTATCTCATGAGTCATTTGATTTGCTTTCTTGCTTTTCAAAATCGGATAATAAATAGCGGCGCTACGGATCGGGGCGTTTTTTGTCAGTCAGCCGTATACCGCATAGTTTCGAAGAAAAAAAAATGTTCCCTCAAATAATGCTACCAGATATTCCCAGTACTAGTTTAATCAAATTGTGATATTAAACTTAGTTGGCAGTGGAAACGAAGGCAAGTCGTGATTTTAACAGGAAACAAATTTATTGGCATTCAAGTTTGTTGCTGACGTTGTCTGTGAATGTTTCAATAAATTCTTCAGACAACAAGACAATATCTGAACGAACAATTTCCTGATATATGGATTGGTAGGGGACAAGAAGCACCTATTCAATGGCCTCCGCGGTCTCCAGATTTGAATCCGTGCGACTCTTCATTTGGTGAGCGTTGAAAACACAAGTGTATGAAGTTCAAATTGATACTTTCGAACAACTGTGGAACAGAATCTAAAATGCCGTTGACGCACTACGAGACAACGACGATGTCCTAATAAGGAGGGTGCATTTCAATTTCGAATTGATATTTGTTTTGATGGAAGTGGGCGTCATATTGAGAGAACTTTTTTTTTATGCTAAACTATGCGGTATAGAAAATTTTTACAAGAGCAATAACATGAAGAAAATTGATTAGTCTTCGAGCTCAAAAAAATTTCAGAACCGTATTCTGAAAAAAATAATTTCAGGGGGTGAGGGTGGTTTCAACCCTTCTACAATTTCTTTTAGATTTCTTGATAATTTGATTTATTGATGGAAAGATAAGTACCTACCTACCTTCTGAAAACTCCATCATTTTGTGTTCCCCCAATCAATGTCAGTGTCAATTTTGATTACCGATTTCATTCAAATTACTTGGAACATTGCATAGCAACAAACTTTTCCTGTCTAGGCACAGAAAGCACACCTTTCCTGCCTATCAAGCGAGAGGGAAAAGCTCCGCTTGGAGAAAATAGTAGATTGTTTTATTAGGATCAAAACTGACACTTTGTTTGACAAGTTTGACAAGATATCCTCAAATATTTTACCCAAATCGATTTTTACCGGTGTAAACAATCAAGACAGTAATATCATATACATAAAGATCGAATAGAACATACTGTACTAGATCCGCCCCTGCCATGCCGTCCTGTGCAAAGCATTGAATGTTACGTAAAAAAGAGAAGGGACCATCGGTATGGCTGCAAGTGCGACAAAGAATAGTAGATTGTTTCATTAGGATCAAAAGTGACAGTTTGTTTGACGAGGCGGAGCATCTAGCGAAGCCGAGCGAAAGCAAAATTTGCGAGTCAAACAAAGTCACTTTTGATCCGAATGAAACATGCTTTTTTTTATGCAACCAAAACAAATAACTCAAATAAATATGCATGTGAAGTAACCACCAATTCCGTGCCATATGTATGCAATGCAACAAATAATCCGTGTGGTGAGAATATTCTACCTGCATTAACAGCAGGTTTATTCAGTTTTCAAATATGTTCGAATTGTAGTTTCAATATAAATACAACCACAGAGTGACATATTTGTGTATGGACCAGGTGCTCTAATGGAAAATACCGCGCCAGTGCCAGCTATAGGAACAAGACGTGGAAAATGTTAGGTTAGTGAGCATATCAACAATAATAATAGCGATTATTTATTCCTCTCCATACTACACTGTGTTTGATTTGATAATCAAATGGAGGTAAACAATATCGTTGTTTGAGACAAAAAACTATTGCTTGTAGTGATTATTCAAAAACAAGTTATCCATCCCGAGAATAACGAATGAAATACAGATCAAGCAAGTATGTGAATCTTGAAGGTTTCCCTGATCAAAACAAAAATACTCAACTTCACCCTTCATTATATACACTAGTGTGAATACTCAACTATATTGAGGTGTATTTATATCTCCAGCGTGAGTATGAAATGCCAAATTTGTCGAAATCGAAAACAAACTAGGTATGTGTCCCAACCCGAATAACCAACCATAACAATGTTGTTCATTCTTGATGACCTCTAGTACATCCTTTTTAGTTTCTAGGAACTAAAGTTCAACATTAGCTCCTAGGAACTAAATGTGTTGCCTAGCAACACACCTATTTTTGTGTCAGTAATAGAAACGTCAATTTGAGAACTATTTTAGGTATCAAAATGGACGACCTTTGTGTCGGTTGCAGAAAAAATCTATTTCGAGCAATCTCACCTGACCGCGTCATCCCTGTAACCCCCCCTCACACTGTGATGGTGGTGGTGCGCCACGTGCTGCTGGCTGGAAGGATGAGACCCGACGTGCTGCACGCGGCTCGGCAGAGAAGCCGCCAGAGGCACGTCGCCCGGCTCCAGGGCCTCGTACGTCGGCGGCGGGGTGCTGCTGCAACTCGGCGCCACGCCTGCAGAACGACAAACTGAAGAGGTCGGTACGCATGGGACCGTGTGTAGAGTGCATTCCATCGAATAGTATCCACGAGTTTTCATGGTAAAAAATACTGATTAGGAGGCATATGCAGTATCGCCTAACGTTCATGTTATGTATCGTTAGTAAACGGTAGTCACTGGATGGTATTAGTAGATAAGAGCTCGGACACTTTTGTAAATGACAATGGTTGAGTAAACAAATGAATAAGACATATAATTATTCTGCTCTTTGACTTTTCAATTTCCCTAATGGGTCGCGTGCAAGAACTGTCAGATGACCGACCCTGGAGGTGAAACATGGAAACACAACCTCACTTTTCTTATTTGTTTAAAAGTGATTGAAATAGTTGTTCACAATTTTTCGGGTGTTACATAAATCGCGCATGCCATCACATTGTGCTGTTGTACAATGCACAAAGAATGCAGCGGGAGACGAAGGAATCCAGTTGGTACATTATGATTTGAGAGTAAGTACCTACTATAGTCACTCACATATAGTTTTCACTTCGAAATTTGGTAATTTCTCTGATTTCCCATCGGAATTCCTTCTGCAATAGGAGCTAATAGAAATAGTCGTGAAGTTTCTAAAAGAATGCAAGATTATTGGATTTATGCAATCAAACGGGAGGGAGTTGAGGCTTCGCACCCCTTTGTGGTCACTTTGGAGACCTGCAGAACATCTCTTTCCAAAGACTCGTTCATCCAACGAACAGCGAGTCTCTGGAACACATTGCCAAAGGAGGTGTTCCCCGAGGCATAAAACCTCCAGAAATTTAAGAAGAACACCAATTCCTACCTTATTTCCCTTGGTTCTCACGATGTTCTCTGAACATTACAGGATATCCTTTTTCGTGGGAACCAGAATCTAAAGAAAAATATGATCGCCGAATATTCTGGTTGGATCGGGGACCAACCACACTCGCGTACTTTTGTCTTTAGGGTGTAGTGTATGAGATTATCATACATTAATATTCGGCATTGATTTTATAATATTTTTTTAAATAAAATGGAAGAATTAAAAATATATGCCGAATATATCATTTGTTCTTGGATCCACCCACTCCCCTATCAATGTTGTATCATTAATTTTTATAATATTTTTCCCAGAATTGATTCTGAAGTTCCGAAATCAGGACAGAAAAAAGAACGCACCCCAAGGATGGATAAAAGCCCTAAAGGACGTATAAATATGTATCGTATTTTTAGATGTCTATACACAAATTACCGGGAAGTAGTAAATGAAATATGTTTTGTAGTGTCAAATTCATTATGCTATTGAACGTTCTACACCAATCATATATTAGGTGCGTTCGGTTATAACATATCTGTTAGCTCGATTCCATCTGTTAGCTCGGAAAGCGTTCGATAAATCAGATCTACTTCCTCTGTCTAATCTGCTCCGTGTTCGTTAATTGTCAGAGCGAGCTGAAAGATGTAATCTGTTTGCTCCGCCTTGAGGAGCAGATCATTCAGATTTGATCGGTTATTCGGTTGTCAATTGTCAACAAATCAATGTCAACAACATGTTATTGAAATTATATCTCTTTTATGTCGAAAAATTGGAGACTCGATCAACTGAAAACGAAATACAAAACTGAATTTTGTAGAATCCTCCTTGCCCAGAATCGCCAGAATGACCGACGAATTTGCTGTAGGTAGCATATTAATTATATATCTGTAATATATGCGATCACAACTGCCCTGGATCCACAGTTAATGACCGATCATATGAGACAGAATCATTCCTTCCCTAGTAATTTTCAAAATATAAATAACAAACATTCAAAAGAACTTTGTTGCCCTGACGTGTTTTTAAAAGTAATAAGGTTAAGTGAATTGTTTCTGTTTTCTGTTACTTCTGACAGCTGGCGCTCGCAATCTACTACCTCGTTGAGCGTTCGTTAAATACCATTAGCTCTATCTGCTAGGTGATCACGTGACACCAAATCTGCATCTGCTCGCTCGGCTCCGATTTTGTTAAACCGAACGCAGCTATTGGAAACAGGGAAAATGCCGAAACTTTGAAATAAAATGTGAAGTGTGGATATTTTTCAGTGGAATGCACAATATATCCAAACAAGTTATAAAATGGCCAAATCTTGCATATTTAAATGCATACTTTTAAATTGAACATTTTCTCAACTGAACGTGGCATGTACTGAAAATCAATATAAAAAACTTGGTACTTGTGAAGGAACCTACTTCGTGTACTTATTACTTGTTTGGACATAAAATATTTTTGAATAATTTCATTGTTACTATGGAATTCAAGAAAAGGCAAACCGAAAACATGTTAAAGAAATAAGCTACAGAAAACAACACAAACGAAACATATCCAACAAAAACATACAAAGAGTTACGAAATTGTACAAATATTCTGTATCCATCCTCTCTCTTGATCTGAGCACGGACCTAACAAATAAAAAGAAAATAGTTAGAAGGTTGGCAAAATAATGCAAGAAGGCGATAGAAGTAGCCAACAAACAACAATTAGCAATTGATATTCATAGTTTTTTTGGTAGTAGACAATACTATCTTGAGCTATCACTATATTTGGTCAGGTTCATCATCAATTATCGCTTTTCACAAAACATATTTTCTACAAAGGTATGTTTTATATATTTAGCCAAAATATTTCTATTCGCTTCATGGATTTGTACCAGATGCAAAAACCGGTCAGCTCCATTTTTCATAATTCGTGGAAAATCGATTGAAATTTTGCAAAATGAAATTTGAGATTTTTTTCTCCACAAGAATTATGATCACAACAACAAGAAGATACATTTCCTCAAAAACAAATTACAAACATTTTTTGAATATCCTGGAGATGGCCGTTTTTTGCACCGAACACATAAAATTCATCATCATTTATTGTGAGATAAAAACGATCACGAACAAGATTTCAGGAAATCTAACTGCAAAAATCAGATTTGGACCTGAATTTTATTCCCGACTGGAAGCTATTTCCTCAATAAACAATATATCAGATGAATCGGAATGCACATAATCACTACCAGAGTCCTCCTCGCTACTTGAAAAATCACTGTTCTGTTCAGTTTGTCTTCCTAATAATTAGGTAGGTACCTACTTAAAGACAGACTGACAGTAAACTAACGCACAGTAAACACATGCAGCGCGCTTCAAACCGAGAAACATACGTGATGCCAGGTTTTGACTGAACAATGTTGCCATTCAATAGTTAGCAAGAAACGCTCATCTTCAGGAGTTGACTGATTCTTGCATCCAAGTGATGTCCTGTCAACTCCGTTTTTGCATGCATCTTCATCAATATTCATCGGACTGATTCTTGCGCCAAAAAGTGCGGAATACATCTTTGCATAGGACACATTGAAAACCCTAGTTTGGAAAGGGTTTTGGAAAAAAGTGGAGTGGAGATCAGGCCATTCATCCAGGTAGCCTCGTGGTAGAAGCGTCAGTATTCTAATCCGCGTTTACTCTACCTCTTAGGATATCCTATGATAGTTTTCAAGAAGATAGTGAGGAAAGCTTGATTGTGCTTCATATTCTCTCAGAGTTGAGCTCTCGATGAAAAAAAAAACTGAAGAGTTTCTAAGTAATGCAGTTCAAAGAACACAAATGTAGGAGACAACCTAGAAGATGGATAAATCGTAGATGAAGGATCTAACCAGTCAGTATTTTGAAATCAGCAGCAGTAGCTATAACACATCAGCATAGCAAATGAACGGATTCTACAACATAAGAAATCATTTATCTTCCCCTGCTTCACAACCTCTCCTAGGTACGTACCATTGAAAAATTAAATATGCCTGGTCGCTGTACTTTAGTAGTAATCAGTTCCAGATACTACATAATCCAACCTCACCCAAGAGAATCAGAAGTTCAAGTTTCAGTTTTTACTATGCCACACATTGTTTTTCTGTCTAGTAAGTTTCCAGATATTTGAGAACTAAAGTTATAATTGATTTGTAAATTCGGACTTGTATATACTCACCAATTATTTAAAACTTGCGAAACATAAAATGTTAATTTTTTAAAATGTTGGAAGACGATTCGCCAAACATATTCATTCTATAAAGGAGCTATATCTAGATTCTTAGGGAACAACCAATATACCAAAAAAGATCTATCTATGTCACAAAATTAGCTTTGAACATAACAAAATGGATGCATGAGAAAGAAAAATGGGAAAATGAAAATAAAAATGAATATACGAAGCAAAATAGCTATTGTAGCAAAATTTACACAAAAACTCATTCTTCTCGTTTTTGAATCATCCACCAGAATTGTCAGTGACACATTAGCGTTTAGAGCACGATAGAGGGAGGTACCAATCGAACTAATTTGTCAAGTCAAGGTGACTTGAATCGGTTGGTGTAATTTGCGCAGGCGCAGTCGATTCAACGGAAAAGGAATCAAGATTGGTAAACAATACTGGATCTCGATGCCCTGGGCATATAACATAATAAATTTATATCATTTTACAGAGACAGTAAGTTTTTTCATGTTTTTTCACTTTGTCCCTTAATATTTCTGAATCAATTGTTTTCCAGATCATGGAGCATATTTCCCTGTTTGCCCTGTTATTAACTATACTAAGTCAATACCGATTTTTCTAGAACTATGATACTTTCTATCGGCTGATGATGGGCTTATATGAGCTTGAAACATGTTCCTTTACGATTGATCTTTGATCATTCTAATAAATGTTGTGGAGATGACTTTGGGTTTTCATCTATGAACAATAGTTTTTGATTCATGTCGATATCTTCTTTTTAAGATAAGATAGTTAGGAAAGTATGGTTGTTTTTAATTTTTATCAACAATAATTCAGAACTTATAGAGCATCTTTGGTATGAACTCCAGAGGCTGATTTCGCCTTCGTCCGGCATTGACAGAGACAATTAAAGAGCTAAAATTCACCCTTTTGAGTAAAATTCGAGGCAATTCCCCAAGACTGCTTGAGAACTTTGATCAACTCGATGCCATGGCGGTTGAATGCTGTAATGTTAGGAAATATGCTTTTCGTTTGTTTTTAATAATTTAGGTTTCTCTTTGCTGGTGAGTGCTGAAAAAACGAATAATAAGTGATATACATTTTTAGATGTTTTTTCGAGTTGATTCTCGGTAAGTGCATGTAGGTTCTGCAAGTTCAAAAAGTCCATACTTTCTAAAAACACTTGTATCTTCTCTCAAACAGAAGACATTAACGTGAATAAGAAACCATCGTGGTAAATTTTTTTTGGGGCCGTTTTTTTGCCGGTGAGTCTAGAATGAGAACTCAAACACTAAATCGGGAATCGGATGTTAAGTCACACACTCATAATATACGGGGTGGTGACAACTCGCAGAGGTCAGTCTGCGACATGCTCTAAAAGTATGCAGGCACTTACTCGAATGGTAGACCAACTTTTTTTTTTCGCACTCTTACATAGGTTGGAGTGCCTCGAACATCTCATTTCACGCTCTTCAAAGAACATATGACACAAATATGTTTCATCAGAATTGGGATGTCATCATTTTTCTGTACCCCTGCATTGAACGAGTGCAGACATATTATCATTTGAAACCCTAACATTGGCGTAACACCAAAGCCACATAATACTCATTGTGAAATGAATATCGAAATTTGAGGCTTCAACGAATACTTGAAATGACGTCTCGTCTTTGGGCTCAACTAAAATGTTAAACATCATTCTTAGAATTTATGCAATTCGTTACCGAACAAGATATATTTGAGAACATTTTAATGGGTACGCCTATTCAATTTTCAGAACTGACGTTTCAAATTTGAGAATAATGACAATTCGGAAATGTCAGTGGGCGTGAACTGAGATGTTTGAGACACTCTAACATAGGTCACTCTGTATATCGGGCTCTAAACGATTGTCAATGACAAAGAATCAATTTTCACACCATTGATTCAACAGATCTGACAGTTTGGTTATCAATAAAAGGAATAATCTTATCACGTCGAATTGTGCTGCTACAAGCATTAAACTACAACAACAAAAAAGATTCGTGGCCTGGCGATCTACTTCGCCGAGCCCATCCACATGCAATCTAATCGTTCGCCAACAGTGTCGCACCTTTGTCGCCATGCTCCCGCTTGGGCTTCGGAGTGCCCCTGGGCGGTACGGGGGGCGGCACTTTGCCCTTCGAATCGCTACTGGCGCGGCCCAAAAGGACGGCAGGGTAAGCAGACGGAGGCGAGGTTATGTTGCCGCCGGCCGATTGGGAGGCGTCCGGAGAAGAGACGGATGTTTTGGCAGGTGCGATATTAGTCATGCTCACTGATAAATTGCGAATGCGGCATGAAAAAGAAGTATTCGAATGTGAATTTACTGTAAAAGGAACGAACAACAAAGTAGCAGGAACGACCGGAGTGGTGTTGGATTAGATTAGCTTGGGCTTTAGGGCTGGTAGCTTCAACATTCGATAAGCTTTCTTTTAGACCTTCCATGTAGTTGGGAGCTCTTGGATTTTCTTTCTCCGGCGTTAGAAAGCTAGGTTTGAGAATTCTCCTTATCGAAGAGAATGAGCATATGTACTGTGGTATGTACCTACTGTTGATTTCTTTTTTCCCCGGACAGAACTTGCACAAAATTTGCGCTGACAGACCAATGAGATATATTCTGGAAAGCTCGAAGCAGGTGGCACTGGTGAGGTTGGAGGTTATATCAGCTATCAATCTTTATTTATTTGCAGAAATATGTTAACGAAACTTTATTAGTAATCGTTATCAAGATGCCTCGTGTACATAGAATACAGGTACATCATAACCTCACTTCTTATTGATGTAATTTTCATTTATTCCATGTAGATGACAGATGACTTCCAACCACACTAGTGACGCCACGTGGGAGCAAAATCGGACATACCTGTCATTGTACTACTGACATGTTCATTGAGGAGACCTACTGTTATTTGTTCTTCTATTCTGGCTCAGTATACAAGGTGTTCCAGGTTTAACTGGTTCAACTTTGAGAATTAGATCTAGAAATTTGATGGCCTAGTTGCCTGATCAGATCTCTTTGTTGTCTAGTTGATTAGAAATTTGGACATAAATTGAAAGTTGCATTGCTAACTGTGAGCCCTTACACTGTCATTAGATATTGATTTGTCAGGTTTTGCTCCGATAATGGAATATAGTTCCCCTTATATTTTCAAATACATATGAACTGTCTCCATTTCACAAGAACCGATATTTTCTTCACTGTACAAACTCTAATAACACAAAATGAAAATATATATACATTTTCCACAAAAGTGTTTCACACTGGGACTCACCATTACGCCTCACACTATTTTGAGCATGATTGGATTTGCTCTGTACTGCAGCTGTATACCAATATTACATATTAGTTGGCAAAATATTTCAATTTTAAAATATAAAGGGGTATGGAAGGAAAAAGTACTATATGAACATCAAAAATAGCTATTATATTCCGCACTCAATTGTTGACACTTAATATAAGTTAACTGACAGTCAACAAATCATCGATTTCAAATATTTTTTGCCGAAATCTCTGAACTCTATGAGGTAATGTGGATTTGAGTGCAGACGTTTTCAGATGGCGAAGGAAACAATAAATAATTGGCGAGGCAAAGGGAAACGTCTCTAAAAAATCATAGTACAGTGGAAAAATTAGTGTAGTGCAGATATGTCCGTACTGAATTCTTTTTAAATCGATGTTATAAAAGCTTTTTGTATTTTATGTAGGTATGTATGTACATATAAGTTAATTTCCAGGCGAAAGTCGGGTTCCTTTCTATTCTATCATCAGATTTTGATAGGTAGTATGACTAATATGTCTTATTGTCCATCGTTCTCTGGTGTATGTAATTTTTCTGTAACGTGTTAGTCGTAGCTTATTCGGAGGCGAATCTGGACGTGCTTTAAGTATATTCAAGTCGGGCCCCACCAATGATTCATCGCTTACTAGGCCTGCACTTTTAAAAACTAATAATGATTGGAGAAATATTATTGGCTTATCTGACTGACTGATTTATAAAGAATATTGAAGCATAAAATATTCAATCGGCACGAGAAATCTTGACATTTCGAAAAATTCGACCACCATCTCTAGAACCCATCTCTGTCATATATCTTCCTCTTTATATTCTAAGATTATAATATACCCTCATTTTGAGATTATAAATATGTCTGCAATATAAAATGGTTGAAACAGAGTCTCCTGATAGATGATAAAAGGATGAATAATAATAAATGACCACTGCAGGAAATGGACAAACTAAAAAGGCCAACAGACATTTCACATGCGAAGATTCAAGATTCATTTGGTGATAAGAAAAACAATTATTGACAGTTATAGCCACTTCAAAATACTTCTGGAATACGTTACAAATAACACTATTAAAAAGAATAAACTCACTTTCTCTTTCATTCATTTCTTCATGTCTTCCCAAAGGCCTCGATAAAGATTTTCGTTTCGATGGAGAATGTTTCAATGCTGGAACAAAAGCAAACAGAAAAGGTAACGGCGAATCAATGAATTTTAAATTAATATACATCTAACAGTCCATTCGAGTTTGGTGACAAATAATTTGACAGTAAGCTATTATATAGATAGATAACACCACATAAAACATTTACGTGCCCAAGAAAAAAATATGCAGGAATCTTACTTCTTATTGAAGTATGAGGTAGACTATAACTTATTGCACATACAACTTTTTATTTTGAATAACCTAATGAAAACTGTTTGAATGAGAACAGTTTGGGCCAAGTACTGAACTGTATGTTGAGTAAATTATGATTCATAATACTTGCTAATGTTTCAAAATAACCTAATAGAACGAACACACGCATGCCATAGATAACGAATTATCTGTTAATTACTGTCTGTAGGTTAATAGAGGAGGTGGAATAATCATTTCTTTAGATTTTTTGAAATTGTATCTTCTCTTTTTCTATAAATAAAATATAGTAATATTTCAATATATTTTATCGCATTATTATCTTGGGGCAAATCATCTGATTTGTCCTTACTACAGGAGTACACATGATGTTATTGAAATAATACTCATTATTTATAGTATAGAAATTATTAAGAATACCTGCTGATTGTTAATGACAAATAATGGTAGATTGATAGGTGTTAACCTGGTTTTCATGCGCAGATCTACTTGGAAATTTTGTTGAGAATGGGTTCCCAGTAAGCAGTAAAAAAATATTTAGGTACCTTCTCTGATTATTAAATTGAATGATTTTTATTTGAAATGCACTGATATTCTTCATTGCATAATATTTAACAGGCAAAAATAGCAATTCATTCACTAGTATTAAGTGAAATGTTATGATAGAAAGCCAATTGTGATTTCAATCTAGTGAAGATGGAGATCAACCTTCTTGCTGTTAACGATTTGAATTTGAAGAATCGGTCAAAAACAGTGTTGACTGTCAACAAATTACGTTGGGGGCCAGATCAACCGCGGACATCATAATATAGCATGAAAGGAGAGATAATACAATATTATAATTTGGGAAATAATCAGGTTATGCGATTTATTCTTGATTTTTTCTAGGTCTTTTAATCAACGCACTATACTATAGGGAAAATGGCTCTCGATGAAAATCGCTGAATTTTTGGTATGTTGCAGACTTTCATATAATGAACAGATCTTCCATTGAACTAACCTCAAAAAATGGACAGTTTTTTCGATATTGACCTCCAAATGCAATTTTTTCAAGAAAAAAAATCTCTGAAAATGGCTGAATTTCTGGTATGCTGTAGATATGAATGAACTGATGAAAAAATCCAATTGACCTAACCTCAAAAAAATTACAGTTTTTGTTCACTGTCGCAAACAGTTTTCTCTTCAGATCTCTTTACATATTGTAAATAATTATTGAAACATATTTGGTATTATTTTAAATAATGAATGAGTCTATCGGAAAGACTATAACCATCTTTGAAATATATTTCATTACATCCTCTCTTCGGTTTTCTTCACCTGTGTATGTATCATATAAAGAAGATTTGTTTTTAGAAGAATGAAATGCCAAATACTAATTCGAAAACAGCAACTTTGTCTATTGATTATCGTTCCATTCATCTTATTTTCTATACGTACACTTGGAGGTCAATATCGAAAAACTGTAAATTTTTTGAAGTTAGGTCAATTGGATTTTTGATCAGTTCATTCCTATCTACAACATACCAGAAATTCAGATATTTTCAGAGATTTTTTTACTTGAAAAAATTACATTTGAAGGTCAATATCGAGAAAACTGTCAATTTTTGAAGGTTAGGTCAATTGGATTTTTTCATCAGTTCATTCCTATCTGCAACATGCCGAAAATTAAACCATTTTCAGATACTTTTTTTTCTCGAAAAAATGACATTTGGAGGTCTATATCGTAAAAACTGCCCATTTTTTGAGGTTCTTTCAATGGAATATCTGTTCAGTATATCAAAATCTGCAACATACCAAAATTTCAGCAATTTTCCCCACAGTTTAGTGCGGGGTCCTTTCATTATGAAAATTAAACGAAAAATTGAAAAAAAAAGAACTTAACCATTTTCTTCAACACTGGATTTACCTGTTCTGTCCAAAAAGTGTTAACAGAGACAAGAGTGTTACTGACGTCCTCACTGTGTAATTAAATTCGAGGATGCAAGCGAACCAATAGCGAATAAAAATATGGTGGAATTTACCTATGTAGCTGGAAACCAGGTTGCGAAACTTGCGGTGATTGCCTTTAATTTCTGGTAAGTCCACTACACGAAGCATTAAAATATACACAAAGTATTAACGATCCACATATCAACGATCTACTGCTACTGCGTTACATTCATGAAAATGAACAGCAAAAAGTTGCTTGGGTGCAAACCAGCTCACAATGAATAAAGACAATAGGGCTTTTCGGATGTCACCTGGTTATCACAGTGATATTAATCAAAATTCATTACGATAGGCCAAGTTTTATGGCCATTTGTATAAACCAATCAAATAGTTTTAGTTCACAACCTGGTACTATAGTTAGTTCAAACCAATTTTTCACTCGGAAAGCCCTAATGATAAACACCGGAAATTCATGCACCCGAATGGAACGCAGTAAATGCTACATATATGGATGTGTGGGTATACAGGTGTTACAAATTCTTGGCTGAATATGGAGATCTCAGTTACCATGAAATACATGATGCCTCAAATTAGGGCGATTCTGCACCATTCTGTGCTCAACAAGATTCTGCGTAGCAGGATTCGGAATACTTGTGGAGGTATACGCTTTTCTGAAGAGATATTTCAACATGGATGTCACTTCATCATTACTACTATCTACTTCAGAAAAATTAAAAACAATCTTGCCCGGAAATATCTCGTTTCCTTTATTTCCTTTTTCATTTTATTGAGCACCAAATGGTGCCAACCTTTCCCAATTTGAGTCGTCCTGTGTTTTTTTATGGTAACCGAGTCCCTATAGTTGACCATTTCGAAACATCTTGTACACGTAGTAACCACGAACATAGGGTACAAGCCATCATTCTATTACCTTAGAAGATACGCATTTTAAAGTTAGATTAGTTATGACTTTGTTATTTTGACATTGACAATTTGAAGGAATCATTTTCACATTCTCGTTGGTTCGTTTGTCATTTTCTGATAGAACAACATTTTATTAACTTGTTTTATATGTAACATGTACCTAGTGAGCAAAGATTCAAACTTGAGTGTTGGCAATAAATGCTTGGAAAGGAACGTTTTGCTATCCTCTGACCGAAAGAACCATTTAACTGGACTAGACAGAGGAGTTGCATTTACGATTTCGCATTAGATGGTACATGACAAATACACTGGCTAGCAAAAGTAACGGACCACCAAAAATGTTTGATAATACGATAAGACTAAAACTCATTTCTTCTCAACAAAACCATCAATGTTGCTGACATATTGAATATACATATATTCTTGTAATATGTGGAAGTCATTGGAATGGGAAATTAGCCTAGAATAAGGTGGTTGCACAAATATATAAATTTGCACTTGTAATAACGAAATCATCTATTGGAATATGCCCTCAGTTACCTTTCAGGAGATATTTAAATGGAGGAGTTAACTCTATGCTTGTAGTTACCAGGTATACTAGGTGATCTAAAATTGACGTCCGGGCCCTCTATGCAGGAAATGAAAAAATGCAGGAAAACTTTTTGTATGGCTATTTTTACCAGAAAGCACTTGCTTGATGAAACATCTTATTATCCAATACTCAAAATTCAGTTTGTTTCTTGTTTGCCTACCGTGATCAACATAAAAAAACCTTATTTTTTCATTCCCTTTATACGATAGAGCCGTGCCACCAATAATTCATCATCCAGTACCTTTTGTCCAAATTTACCGGAATGGATCAAAGATTACAATTTACTGAACGAATGGGGGTTGTTACATGAAAAGATTTTCCAGATGAATGAAGGAGCCCAGAGCAATACTGATTCATTACTGGTTCTATTTCACAGATATGATAGGAGTTGAGTAATCATTGCTTTCCTTGCGAACTACGTACATTGCTTTCATCTAATCATGACCACTTTCATTTGGCTATAACAGCTATTTTTTCTAACTAGGAGGATCAGTAAACACTAGACTCACTGGTATTAGTTAGATAAGAGTTCAACCACAGATATGACAACTCTAAGTGCTTTTGAATTTTCAGATTTATTGAGTTACACATCTTGCATTGTGATAAAAGCACCTTAGTTGTCCCGCGCATTTTCATCCAAAATAGTTTGAATTTGACAATAAATTATATGAATGACAGAATTGAAATATAATTTCGTAAACTATTGAGAAAAAAAGTATGAATGAAAATGTCCTGCTGTATAATGAAATGAGGGAATTCTGAAGATGATGAATTTCATTTATTTAATTTTCCAAAGGAGATATAAACCATTCTCTTATGGAAAGAATGTTTATGAAACGGCCTTAATTTGAAGACAAGCAATATTTGGTACAAATAAATGTTTAAGAGAATCTGCTGTTCCATCCATTTAGAAAACAGACTATTAAAAAAAATCCATTATTATCATCATACGAAATGAAAAACTAAATTATCATGGAGAAAGATGAATTGATTGCAAAACAACCTAATGAAATTCATACTTTGAGAACGAAATTGTGGAATCAAGTTAATTGCTACGTGATATATCTTTGATAATGGCGTTTTCAATACCGACCAAATACAAAATTTACCAGTGAAAAATGAATGCAGGAAAAGGTGGAAAACCAAAACAATAAATAAAGCGTTTGCCATCAAATACACTTGTGTTACCACAGGCTATGAACATCTGCTATTTTGTCATATTAAAATGTTGTTATGTCTGCATTCTTTTCATTTTTATAACCGTTGTTCTGCGAAAAATTTATCGACATGAATTGAAGTGAGTGTTCATACCCTATTTCTATTTTCCATCTACGGCTATGATTGATTCAACAGAAAATCTAACCTCCAAAATCGTATCTGACAATCAGGCGCTACTAGTGAATTGACTAATTGAAAAGACAAAGAGCAGAATATATAACTATTTCTTTTAATCACTCAAACCATTGTAATAACGGACAGAAGTTCAGTTGTGTCCAAACTCTTTATCTAACTAATAAGTACCCTCCAGTGACTCTAGTAAACAATAATTTAGAATTTTTCATAAAGTTTTCAGTTGATGCCTTCAAAATAGATTTCAAACATCCATGAAATGTCAAACATAACGATAATACTATACAGGGCGTCCCTTAATGTCATATCAATATTGAAGGAAGTGATTTCTTGATCAAGTTATGTATTCGGAAACTGTGCGTCAATAGGAACAAAACTTTTGTACAAAATGGCTGCTTGCAACATATGAAAATTTCCATCGCCACCTTTTTACTTTACTGCAACACTTTCTATCTCGAAAAAACACCAAGTTAGGGTTCATATTTATAGGGACTCTACCTTCCCCAATACCGTGATATTAAGGGCTTTCTGAAAATGTGGAAATATTTTTCATAAAAATGAAAATGTGGAAATATTTTTCATAAAACAATACGAATTTGTCTGATCTAGAAATATGTAGAAATGAATGAGAGAGGAATAACAAACTGAATAGTATAAGTCAAAAACTAATGTCACTTGATAATTTTCTGAATTTTTATGTAAACAGCAACAAAAACCCCATTTACTGACTTAAAAAATATATATTTATATTTCAAAGCCATAATAAAAGTAGGTCACAATATAGGCAAGCACTGTACATATATCAAGAATATTGGTCCTTGCTTCAGACCTTTGAAAATTTGCACATTAAAGAAATTGATTTAACTAGCCTTCAGAATATTTCTACTAGCAATAAGATATATAAAACAAGAATTGTAGCATAATTTCAAATGCAAAATTAGAGCTAAATACAGAAAGTAATCAATTCTCAAATTATTTCACTAAAAACTGAATAATGTGGTTATTGATAATTGATATCAAACTCAAAAGAGCTGATGATAGCTGCTTGGGAATTACTGGTTAGGGAAAATACCTTGGAAAATACCAAACATTTTTTCAACATTGATTAACATCAAAACCGCCAAAACATAAAATCCAAAAAAGTAGATACTCACGTGATGGGATTTTCTTGAATACAGTGTCAGACATAAACTTCTGGAATCTCTGGGCATAAAAACTAGGTCTATGTACAGAAACGGTATCCTGAGGGAAAAAAACAATTATAACAATAAAAAAAGTTCTATGAGATCGATAATTCAACGTACACCATCATGTATCATAGATTTCCAAGTGTGTTCCAATTTTTTCTTCAGCCTGTAGCTCTGCAAAATGTCTATTATACCAATAAACAATAGCAGACGCTCTCCTTTGGCATTTCTGGCTGGAATTCCTCCAGGCCTGAAAAAATATTTTAAAATAACAATCCAATTTCAAAATTTGTATAAATATCTACGCAAATATCTTTGTAATCGTTTGAAATAACCCTATCAAACGCGGTATCGATGAACTCGTCATGATAATTCCTAACCGATTATGGAACACAATACAGGGTGTCCCAAAGATAGTTACACTCCTTCCAATATTCTTCACCTTTAGGAGATGTAAAAATTGAAGCCATACTTATAAGGCATCTCATTTCAAGACAAGTTGAAGAATCTCAATTTACTACCAGAAATAAGAAGATTCAGTCTTAAGGCTCACATTCAAAAGAAAGACCTCTTGACACTGTTGCCAAGTGTCTTCTGAACGGCTGGGGAGTTTAAGAAATAAGCGGTGACATGCCATCGGTGTACCGGTAAAAGGAAAGAAGAAGAAGTCCGCTGGGTGGACAGTCACTACCATGTTGTCTCGTGCCATTTGTCTTTTTTATTGACTTGTGACGTGTCACATGCCATGGTTCTTTCCGCCTAGGTCAGGTGATATCCGTAGTGTACTGGTGCAGGGCAAGATGGACACGTTTTTAATTCCAATGTCACATCCATATGTGCCATTTGATGGTTCTTACAAAATATTGTACGGTAATTTTCCGGGGGTTTGTTGGGTTTCCCCATTTTGATTTTCTACTTTGAAAAACCCAAACAATGTTAAAGTTGGTCACATAACCTTTTTTTTATCCCCATGTAAGCACTCTTATTCTCATAACTTGTTTTGATTGATTTTGATTGTACTAATAACCATTTCAATTTTAGGACAATGATTATGTAATTTCTCAGAAAGAAGATGATGGACATATATATGTCCGAAACATGTACCAACCAATTTTGATGTATTAATCACATTAAATGTCATGGAGATGACTTCGTGTATCATTTAGTATTTAATACTTGACTCCACTTTGAGAAACCATGGACTTCTACAAAAGATTACTTTCTAGAAAATTGAAAGATATGAAAATGAGATTCTCACTTTGACATCCTCAAAAATGGAACTTACGGTGTATCATCATCCTCGTCTATGGGCTCAGACTCCGCCTGAATGCTCTCCATAGCAGTGGAATGAGCCACCAATCTCTGCCTGTTGATGGACTTGCTGCGGTTGAGGATCCCCACCGCGCCCATCCTGTCCTCTTTCTCCCTCTCTCGCTCCTCGTGGAGCATAGCGAAGCTCATGTCTCCGGCTTCTCCGTCCTCAGGCACTTTATCCAGATGCGTTTGAGATTTTTTCTCCTAAAATCCAAGCACATTCGAAGCACAAGAGATCTAGGATGAACAGAGTTGCCTCAATTGTCAGCAGGAGCTAGACAGTACTGTTTTAAGAGTCAGTCATAAATTTTGTCGGTTACTCAACCGAAAAGATACATATAATGATGAAGATGGAAAGCCCTAATTTCGAGTGACAATGGAAAATGAAAAAACTCCACCGCTCCGTGTGAGAGTCGAACTCACAACCTCTGGGTTACATGCCCAACGCTAGGCCAATTGAGCTAACGGGGCATCCGTCGATCAATCGGCAGGGAGGTCGAGTTCTCATGCCAGAGGACGAACGGGGAAATATGGAGACTGAATAGTACCATCCTGCCAGCGATGCTTCGTATACTGCATGATTTCGAGTGACTTCGGGAATTGGAAGGATTCTGAACTCGACCTTCCTGCCGATTGATCGACGGATGTCCCGTTAGCTCAATTGGCAAAGCGTTGGGCATGTAACCCAGAGGTTGTGAGTTCGACTCTCACACGGGGCGGTGGAGTTTTTTCATTTTCCATTGTCACTCGAAATTAGGGCTTTCCATCTTCATCATTATATGTATATTTTCGGTTGAGTAACCGACAAAATTTATGACTGATCCTTATGTATGATTGCCTTCGGACATTTCCGTATACAAGGAAAGACAATGTCAGAGGACGAACGGGAAATATGGAGACTGTATAGCTCAATTGGCAGAGCGTTGGGCATGTAACCTAGAGGTTGTGAGTTCGACTCTCACACGGGGCGGTGGATTTTTTTTTATTTTCCATTGTCACTCGAAATTAGGGCTTTCCATCTTCATCATTATAGTACTGTTTCAGCCCACCAGGCCTCATTAACAGCTCTCGGTCTGCTGACAACTGGGACAATTCAACGCTTCGGGTATATCACCCATTTCTATGAAGCCGGATCATACATGATGATCTAGTCATGCTGCCGTCATCTAGTGGCGTTAGTTCTTAGGTAGGGCTTTGCGGCCACATCATACTATGTAGGACGCTGCCATCTCTAGTCAACAGGTGCAGGCCACTACGCTTACCCGTTACAAATTGGTACTACAAGTAAACCACTCTGCTGACAGATGGCACCACCTGAATACTCGAGTGGTAACCCACCAGTCATATTCACTGAACTAGTATTAACAGAGTGGCCCCAATCATCAGCAGGAGCGACACAGTACTGTTTCCAAGGTTGATAAAATTGACGATTATTTGTAGAGTAAAAGCAAAACTCAGTGATGGGAAGTGGTAATTCGTGACGTAATCCTATGGAAAATTCCAATTCGAAGTCATGAGAATCTATATTCTACGACTGTCTTCAAGTAGATTTACCTATCCAGCTGTGATCTAAAATAATACATTCATTTCTGTGAACCCAACATGAAATTTTGGATGCGATTACGTCACGAGTTACCAGTTCCCCTTACCGCGTTTTCTGATGGAGGTAACCTTTCTCTACAAATATTCATCAATTCAACCACTTCTCAAGGTTGTAGACGTAGTGGTCTGCATGTGTTGACTCTAGATAGCAGTGTATGACGCGATCGCAAGGTCCTACCTTATAACTAACACCACTAGATGGCGATAGCATGACTAGATCCGGCACATTCGAGGAATTCGAGAGCATAGCGTACTATATCAATTATGGTTCCTTAATGTAAACGGTTTCATAAAAAGAAACAGACATGAGAGATTATGTTCACCCAGGGTATAGGAATAATATGAACTGAGTTTTCTATAAAAATTAGATTTAGCTACACTACGTATCTACCACCCTCGTACCACCGTTTAAAAAGTATCTCCTCTCTTTTTATTGCGATTGTGAATGAACTCCATAGACAGTTTAAAGCTAAGTTTTTCATTTGACATATTTGAAATCAATGTTTAGTTTTCTAGATGTAATCTCAATATTCTCAGCGGTGCAGAGCCCTAAATATATTATTACTTGCTTCCATTTATCAGAAAATAATACAGTCAAAATACACAGAGAATTACTAGAAAAATAATGCACCATCTCAATAACATGATTTCAAATTTGGTTATTTAGTTGCTCAAGTCACATGAATTAGAATTCAGTAAAATTTGAATCATCTTTATGAAATTCGTGAAATGTGCATTTCAATTAATAACAGTAGATAGTGCAAAAATTCTTATATTGACCAAATGCTGCAGTGATACAGATGATGACACTCTGTATACAGTATATTCCTTCATCTATATCAGCTATGGAAATGAATGAAATGATTAATCCTTGATGAATTCCTAAGATTAAATGAAAATTTACGGCATATTTGAAGTGAGGATTTAGCTGATGAGATGTTGGAATGCAGTTAAATAGAAGATAATCGAAAAAATACTGATAACTTATCTACATTGATTGGAATGCTCTCTGAAATAGTCAAAGATTGTGATTTTAAAATATAGCCGAAACTCGTGGTCAGGTTAGGTTAGGAAACACTGTTTTCAAACTCACCGCTTTTTCCTTTTGTGCCTGGTCCAAATTGTGTATAGCTAGCAATAAACTGTAATCCATAATTTTGAAACTTTCTAATACTCTACAATCTCTTTGAATAGTTTTAACTAATGCACTATAAGTATCTGCTTCCATAAAAATGCCTTCTGGATGGTGCTCCAGAAAATCCAGATCTTTGTAAGTGGGCGAACGTTTTTGACGTTCCGCTCTTGATGCCTACAAATTTGATGAATGTTTGATACAACATTTTTCATTATAGTATAGATATTCTACTTAAACATACTGCAGAACAAAGAATACCAGACAGAATAGGCAACTGTGAAATAGGTACATGACAAAAATCAAGCATCTGATGATGCTAAGCATACTTCATAAGATACAGTATCATAAGGACAATAGCGATTTATGAAAAGAATTACCTTTCTCTTATATGTACTTCCTTTAAGATCATACTTGTGGTGCATAGTAATATTATTTGGCAATAAATTATTCATAACAACCAGTCTTACATTTTTACTGTTACACTGGTAACAATAGAGTCCGAAGAATTTTGGTAACAACGTCCTAGGATTCTGATTCAGGTTCATATAATAACCTTAAAAGAATATTAGTCATATCAATAATTTGAAATTGTAATAATTTGAGAAGAGTTAGTTATCATTTCACTAACCTGCTAACAATTTTTGAAGAAATTCTCCTTCCTTATGCTGTACAGTCTTAATAATAAATTCATCATCATTAGTTACATAAAATATGGAACCACTGGCACCAGGATTGGAAAGTTCTCTTAATCTTGTATCACACATAGACATCTAAACCAAGTTCAACAATAAATATTTAGAAAAATAAGTAAACGTTTGTATCTCACCAAAAAATCGTCAGGCTGAATGCCAAAAAGATCTCTGAAATATCTAAAAGCTATGGGAGCATAATTTTTAAATTTGAATTCCGAAAAATGGTGAGCTGGAGTGTGGTTGGAACCTTCATGTGGAAAATTTGTCGTTTCTACAGTCATGAAATCTTGCATCAGAAGATCTCTCTCAGGTTTTGAAGCCAAACCTCCAACAGCATGCTGTATCCCTAAATTTCATTAAAACATCTCAATGAAATAGTATAACACTACAATTTGGCAAATTTTAAAACCTATATAGGGTAATTGAAAATTCGATGCAAATATTTTGAGGCGGTATTGTTGGGATCAAAATAAGACTTGTATATTTTTTCATATTTGCATTATTGATGCTTTGCACTTTCCAAGAATATATAACACTTATACGATATTTTGAGTATTAGCCTTGAATTAAGATGTGTTTCGTCACACACTAGTTTGAATTTTACCAGCATTCATTATTTACCAATATTCAGCACTATTTGTGACTATAAAAGCTTTGGACCTGATTAGTAGGTAGCTATGAAGAAACAAAAGCGAGTGTCACCTGTTCACACATTTTTCATCCAATGGCAAATTATAATCCCATGGGGTGAACCACTATGTCCAATATGTGCACACTTGGTGTCCAATCCCGATGCAATTTGTCCGATCTTGACCCAATAATCCTAATCTCGCAATGCAAATGTACAATCCCTATCTATATATCTATAATATCTGTCCAATCCTACGTCCAATCTGTCCAATTCGTACGTTTTTGGGAGAGTTTAACTCTCGTATAATCCAGGATATCAAAACTATACGAATGTTCAGAAACCAACTTATATCCCAACCATAATATACAGGGTGTTAACAAATAAGTGACAACGGAAAACTGTAGATTCCTCATAATAAAAGAAACATTTCTTTCCTCTTCAACATTTTTTTTCCAGGCTTCCGTTTTTAAGATACAGGGCGTCAAAAAATCGAAAATGTTCAGATGTATTAAACACACTTTACAACACTTAATACACTTGACAATCTGAAAACCAGTATCGAGACCAGCATACTGAAGAACCTGACATTTGATTGAACATATTCTTAGACAGTTCTGATGTGTTTATTTCCAGTGGATTTTTAGACGATTTTAGGAGATACCATCAGGATTTTGTATATTCTTATTCATGAAGAGCCATTTTTCGCAGAACCTGTTCACTTCAGAGCATTGAGACAAGAGGACGTTTTTTGTGAGAAAGATATTGGCGCTTCAGAATCTACTTTGAAAATTAAAATTTCTCCAATTCAAGGAAATTGATCAAGAGCCCTAAAAGTAGTCATTATTGATGGTGAAGTGTGTAGAAGGCTTAACTCCGTAGCTCAAACGGTTCCTAAGATAGTAGCAAAAAAACAGATATTTTTGTATTATTTTGACGCCCAGTATCTTGAAAACGGAAGCCTGGAGAGAAATTTTGAAAAGGATAAAAATGTTTCATTTTTCATGAGGAATCTACAGTTTTCCGTTGTGACACTTATTTGTGACAACAATATTATAAATCATTCTGCACTCGCTTTTGATCATTGCCACCTACTAGTTAGTCCACAGCTTTTTAGTCAATAAATAGTGCTGAATATTGGTAAATAATGAAAGTTGGTAAAATTTTAACTAGTGTGTGACGAAACACTCTGTCAATAACAGAATAAATATGAAAATCCATGATATTACAATATTAAGAATATTGCCACACTTTTACTAGGTGGATCAATAAGAAATATACTGAAAAATTGTAAATTACAAGGCTAATACTCAAAATTTCATATACCTGTTATATCTTTTTGGAAAGCGCAAAGCATCAATGTTTCAAATATGAAAAAATATACAGGGTGTTTCTTCAAAAAAACATAACTTTGGGTGATATCTAAATAATAACATCTTATTCTGAAAATCTGACTACGCCACTGGATTTCACGTGAAAAATTGTTTGAGTGACAGTTTTTACTTTTCCTATGAAAAATGCACCTATTAGAATTTCGAGTTATACTATTCAAAATTTTCAATTCAATAACAATAATTGTTCGAATCTTTCCGCCTCAATGTACCCTCCTCTCCCAACTCTTCAACTTACCCAACTGTATCGAGCCCATAATTTGAGTTGTTTGAATTTTTTTATATGTAATTTCGCCTCCAACTCCGACTCTTCTATGACCGATTTTTCTGTCTCGGTCAATTTTGAGTTTGGCCTCATTTGGAAGGGTTTTTGAGCGAACCTAGATTAATTTCATTTATTATGATCTTATTTCGAATATAACATGAATTATACTCACATCTTGTGAACTTTTATATGCTATGGAGTTGTCCTCTTTGTCTGAAAAATGAGAAGTCACTCAAATAATTTTCATTTCACGGTAAAAGTATGTTAACTCAAAATGCTATTCAAAATATCATGATCACACATGATATCACTAATTTGATTCATACTTTGATTACTGTATGCCATCTCGTGTGTGATTCTAGGTGGTGTTTTTTACGATTTTTTCAATCTATCTAATTCAACCCTGACCTAATTACACATATACTACCTGACCATCGACCTGTACTGAGGTCCTTCAGGCCAACGTGTTCTGTGTAGGCCTGATTCTCAACTCCATACGTCAAGTTCTTAGGAGTAGCACTGTTGATTTTATACCATTTATAACGTTGCCAAATCTACATGTTGTTTATAGTAAATCTTCCTAAGTATTTATTTAAACTGCCTTTTTAATTATTGAGCATTTTATTTGATGCCATGAAGTTACATTCTTGTAACCTAAACAAATCAAACCCTATTGATCATGAGAAGCTATCAAGAAGTTTATGAATTAGTTTCCCGAGAAAAAAATTAAAAAATCTAGTTTGCCGATCTATTGTAAAGGCAGTTCAAATAAATACTTACGAAGATTTAGTATAAACAACATGTAGATTTGGCAACGTTGTAAATGGTATTTTCCAGATCAGACTTGCTGAAAACTTCCTTATAAATTAATTTTTATTGTCATATCGCCACAATTTCCCGAAACATTGAAATTTTGTGATATTTTTTGACGAAATGTTCATTTGTCATATCAACAAAAATAAAGGGAATACAAATTTGATATTATAGGGTCGAAGTAGTTTTGAGACGACAAATCGAATGCGCTAAAAATAAACATAGCATTACTTTCAAAAAAATAAAGTTGAGGGCTCTATGGGAAAAACTGTAGAACTGGCAACGTTGCAAATATCATTTTTAGATCCGGCACAACTGATTACCCCCGTATACCAAATTTCATAATTTTCTGTCAAGCCGTTGCTGAAATATTCGGCCGTTCCGGTTCTTTTGGGAAACCCTGTATGTAATGTTGTCATTACTAACGTCATTGAAGGTTGGGAAGTATCACATTACACACCTCTACTTCCCGTCCTCACTTCCCGCCCCTCACTCATGTAATAATTCAGGTATGTTCAGAACGAAACATAGATTTATTAATTTTGATCGAATTATGATGGTTGTAAATAATAGTTATTTATGTATCAAGGGCGTAAAATATGCTTTTATGGACCGCAGCGTGTAAGTAATAGACCGAGCGATAGCGAGGGCTATTACCACGCCTAGGTCCATAAAAGCTAGTTACGCCCGAAATACATGCAACATTTTATGCACGACTGTATATATATGATATCTCATGTAGGTATCTCTTCACCCCTCAAGCACAATAAAAATATATCACGGTTGCAGTGAGACTGTATTGTATCCATATCGCAAATACAATTAATCAAGAAGTATGGAATCAACGTTACCATGGCAACTTAGTCAATTTTTCGAAATAGGAATTAATATAGCCATCTTAGTGTAATCATACATAATTCATTAGTGATTTCAAAATGAATTCTAGTAATTAAGAAAGTGTGAATTGTACTCCACCAGAAATTAGTGAGGCAGCTGAGGAAGCAAAATCGAGTTTATTGCCAAGTAAATCAAAAAAAATATACGACAAAGTATACGAAGAATTCGTAAGCTGGTGCGATATGACAGTGACATTAGCTTTACCACCAGCTCAATGACTTTATCGCCCGCCGGGCGGTAAAGTAGACCGCGGGCGGTAAAGTGCCACTTTACGCCCGCAAACCCGGGCGGTAAAGTGCTACTTTAAGCCCGGTCGTGCATAAAATAGTATACGGTAGGGAGTTTCAATCCTGTCTCGGACTAACTAATCTCACGACAGGAATTAATCACTTCCCACCTCGGTGTGTAATATACTATTTCGACCATCTGAGGCCCCACCTGTTTGGTTTTCACCATGGGATTCTGTGGAATTCCACGGGATTACGTGGAATGAAATAGGATTCTATAGCATTCCATGTGGGTGGGTCTCTTGGAATTCTTGGGATTCTTGTGAACAAATTTGTCTAAGGTATTTAGCCTTCGAGGATTCAACGATATTTTTTGTTCTAAAATTTGTTCTATCCGTCATTCGGTTGCCCCCTTACGAGCAACCCTCAAAAGTCTTCGAAAGTCTTGTGCGAGCAAGGAATGACGGGGGCCTTACCTTTTAACGTGTGATCCCAAACACGTTCTTGGGCCATCAGAAAAATGTCTGCAGTCGACGGGGATCGAACCCACGACCGGCAAGCGAATGCGAATTAGAATATAGACACTCTGTCCGCACGGCTACCTGGCCACCCCAAATTCGTAGATTAAATACTCGATTAAATATAAAAAACATCCCTTGTCCCGTTTGTAAACTGAACCTAGGATCTCTCTCTAATGGGTCAGGCCCACTTTATTTTTGAGAATGTTATTGAAGTAGTTTCAAAATCACATGGAAATGTACTGACCAAACAACAGAATCAACTAGTTTCAATAAAGTTGACCCTAATTTATTTCATGCATTAATATGCTCAATGATAGTCGATAATAGTTTTTCATTTCACCAAACTAAGCAAGACTTTAATCATGAATGGAAATAGAAAATATATTGTTCTATCTATGACACAAAGAATTTCAAAGCCATTAGATAATAAATACATTATTACAACGTAGATATTGTTATCCGTTGTTATCTGACGTTCCCATTATTTACATGAAATTCAACATCATTAATATGACAGTTAATATTTCAATAATATTGATAATAATAATGATAATACAGAAAAAATTATGAAATACCCTCGGAACTACCCTAGGAAATACCTTTTAAACCATATTGTGTAATGAATGTTTTCTAGGAGGTTTTCTATGTATTATTTATCCTACCATCCCTTTGATTTTTTTAGTGATTTGGAAGGATTTACAGTGTACAGTGTGTTCAGTTTTCGATGCTTTTGCGAGATATATCTCCATTATCTTTGGAGTCAAAACCTTGCGGTTTTCGCGATCCTGTGCCACTTTTTTATGAAACTCAAGATGGCCTAATCATATTTTGCAGGACTGTTTCCGTTTATAAGATACAGGGCGATTTTGAAAATGTATACTTTTTGGACCCCCTCTATATCTACGAAGTTTCTCAGCGAAAATGTCAAATTAAAATCTTATACCATAGAGAATTTTGCGCAGAATCCAGTGGCGCACTCAAAATTTGGTGGTGTTGTAAGGTTTTGAAGATACGACTCAAACTTATGATTTTGTAAATGGAACATCCTGTATTTTATAAGCTCTTTGAATTCCTTATTTTTTTCCTTCAAAATGATATATATTGAATGAATATAAAATTTTCAAAAATGCTCAAAAATCACTAAAATATTGAATTTTTATAATGAGCTATGTATATTTCATATAAAAAAACGTTCAAATTGAAGAAATGTTTCTTCAAATTTTTCCATGAAGAGGACAAACCCAATAACAACACTAATTAATTAACAAAATACAAAACTTAGGTAACTAATAACAACAAATGAATAGTAATAAAAAGTACATAATGTAGAATAAGCACCTGATCAAATATTTACACAGACTAACAAACAATTGACACACTTTCTCAATACGTTTTAAGACTCTTAAGCAGCCCAACATACTTGAAGAACTTCATTATTTAAATCAGGTTATCTTACATTATAAACTTTTTATTACTATATATTTGTGGATATCCTTTTTTAGTTGATTAGTGTTAGTATTGTTTTTACCCCCTTCATGGAACAATCAAAGGAAATATTTCTTCAATTGGATCATTCTTTGTATGAAAACTCTATAGCCCACTATTAAAATTCAATGTTTTAGTGATTTTTGAACATTTTTGAAAATGTTATATTTATACATTATATATCACTTGAGGAATTCAATGAGCAATAATACAGGGTTTTCTATTAAAAAAATCATAAGTTTGAGTCCTATCTCCAAAATCTCCAAAATCTGTTTAGGCCATCTTGAGTTTGAGCAAAAACCACAAGGTTCTATCTCCAAAGATAACTGAGATATGAAAAGCATTGAAAACTGGACACACTGTACAGCAAGGTTTTCAAGGTGATTGTTTATATTTTACTCAATAGCTATCTTAGTTACCACTGGTCTTACTAAAAGGTTTAAATGTGCAAAAATTAAGAATTTACTATGGACATTCACAATTCAGTTCTAGAATATGCCAAAAAGCATCCTATTACCAAAATTTTGATAAAAACTGGTATTTTTTTAATGGAACACTGAGGAACACCCTGTATTTTATTTTCCTAATTGGTGGAGTCTTTGATTTCAAATATATATGCTTCATTGGTTATCTCTTTCATTATTTCAAATATATAGATTTTATACTCCATTTTCTTGTCCATTTTTCACTCGATTTTTCCATATAAATTCAAGACAGTTGTAGATGCCAGATATTGCAGCATTATGGGCTGGTGTTCTTATTTATGTTTATTGCAAACTTGCAAACATTATATAACTCACCTATTTCTCCATGTGACCTAGTTGATATGAAAAAAGTAAGCAGCAACCTATATAATCTCAAATGAAAAGAATAAATACCTACATGCCAAAATGTTCTGGACAAATTGTGTCTAACTTTTAATCACCATATAAATACCTATATCTTGAATAAACTTTAATATCTTCCAGTCAATTCAGTTGAACTTTTTCATCAACAATATACATAGTTTATTAAGCAATAAATATATATCAACAATATTTCTCAATATTATTATATAAAGAATAATCAGAGATATAAATGATATATTATGTATAGTCAAGGGTAAGTGGTAAGTACCTGGGTAAGTATCAATACCACCTAGCAATGATGAGTGCATGAACAATGTTCATTGGTCCTTCTGGTCATACCTATGACTGGTTCAATTTAGCTTTCCCATTCATTTCCCATGTTACCTACATGTTTTTCATTTTATTGATAATAATGTTACCTATGAGATCCTGCCTATGAGGTTAGCTACTTATCAATACCTACTACACATCATTTGGCAAACTATAATTTTCTTAATGATTTTTCTCAATGATGAAATGAAAATGACCCTTCATAAAATCTTCATCAATATTCAGTTTATGTGATTACCTACTCATGAAAGACCTCTACCTACTTAACTTGCTACTTAATGACTGATGACTCATTCTATTGTAAATTTATACACCTGTAGAACCAAGGTTCATCCTGATATTTTTTATGAAATAAACGGTAAAATCGAAATCTCAGTTTAGTAATTCGTTTTGGTACATTAGACATTAATTTAATAGAGGTAGGTACTTGAATAGGTAGGTACAGTATTTAATGAAGTATCATGACATGATATGAAAATGAAATAAATTTTGTTACCTTCATTATCTTCAGTATCCCTAGACTCATGATATGCTGAAATCTCCTTGGAGTGATTCATATTTGTCGCCAAATTCGAGTCAGCCGTTTGTATTGTTTCTATTGTATCTCCAGAAGCCATTTTTTGTTCACAATACTAGGATGGGAATGAAACGAAATTATTATTTAAGCACTGATCAGCTCAACACATCTCACTTGACGACACAATCAAGCATATTTTTCATTTTTACGGATGTAACAGGAAAAGACAAAATCCTTTCAGATTCCACACCTTTACAACTTTAACTTTTGACATGTCAATATTGACTGAAATGAAATCAGTGAAAAGTGAAATCAGTGAAATAGCAACATGACATTCTTGACAATCCTGAACTGTCAGCTACGACCATCAAATGTCAAGCGTCACTATTTCTTCTCAACATTTTTCGCACAGAGACTCTAAGAGCTCTAAGCTGTAAGTTTGGAAGATCCAGCTCACATAGGCCACAGGCACTCACAGTTTTTGTTCCTACATCTCGTCGAGTCGTAGAACAGATCGCTGTTGTAGTGTGGCTTCATTTACGTCGTGAGATACCAGATATAATTAATAGATGGCGATACCAATATCACGAAGCAATCACGAAGTTACAGTGAAGTCACGAAATTCACGAACTTATGATTCACTTGAGATGCTTGCGGATGAACATAGATGTCATTAGTTTCATGAGGTAAGTGAGGTCATAGTGAGGTAATCCACAGTAGAAATGTATTAAAATTTGTATGATCTCGTCTTCGCTCAACTGCGCTCCATAATATCACGTCGGGGTCACCAAATTGTGGATATAATTTATACAAATTAGAAGACTTTGAGTTGTAATTATATTATAAAAAAGTCACATCCATGTCAGAAAACAAGTATACTCTGGTCAGTTCACTTTTTGAATGTTTTGTTCGGTTCGTATGGACTATGGATGGTTTCTCCGATTGAGTGGCAAGTATCAAATACTGCTTCTCTGATCTGCAACAGAACATCACATATCGATCGAAGTAAATTCATGTCAGAAAATAAATATCGTTAGATGAATTACATGGATGTTGAATCGGAGACATACCTGAATAATATATTCAACGTCCGTAACTGGATTGCTACATATCCGCTTTCTTTCCGAATAGTGTTTTTTCCAGTAGGCATCTTCCACATTTTCAATTACGTACGTGAGTTATAAATATTAAGGAACTTGAAGGCTAAACGATGTGCTGCTCGGATCTAAAACTAAGGATCGATTTCAAATTTGAATCGTGAGACCTACATAGAAATATTGGATAATGTTTTCAACATTCGTAACAGGAACGCGATATATTTTTGTAAATCATCAATTCATCAACTATCTCAATGAAGACGAGACAGGCAAATAAACAACAATTTTCTCTGCAATGAAGAACACTGAATATACCTAACCCACCATGCGTCTACCTCCTTTGCAGAGAGGGTTTATAAACGCCGAGTTGATACTCTCCCCTCGTAAGGGTACCTGTCGTGTTTCCATAGAGACATAAAGCTGAATATCTGTCTATCTGTCTGCTTGAGAATCTGGAAAGGTAATCAATATATCGCCTTCCGTACGAATATAATGATCTGAATTCTGTAAAGTATACTCTGGTCAGTTCTCTTTGCGGATCTTCTGTTCGGTCCGTATTTTTTTGATGGTTTTTCTCCGATTGAGTGGCAAGTAATCAAATACTGCTTCTTGGATCTGCAACTAAACATCACATTCAAATCGCAGTACATTTGAATCGGAAAATATCATTAGAGGAAATACATAGATGTTGAATCTGAGACATACCTGAATAATATTGTCAACGTCCGTAACTAGATTGCTACATATCTGCTTTCTTTCCGTTTAGTGGTTTTTCCAGTAATAGGCATCATCCACATGTTCACACACGTGGGTTATATTGAGGACCTTGAAGGCCAAACAATGTGCTGCTCAGATCTAAAACTATGTGAGTATCAATTTCAAATTTGAATCGTGAGACCTGCATAGGATATGAATCTATGAAAAGTCTGGATATTGTTTTCAACATTCATAAAGGTGAATATCTGTCTTATCTGTTTTCTTGAGAATCTCGAAAGGATATCAATATATCGCTTTCCGTACGAATATAAGGATCTATTTTCTGTAAAGTATTCTGGCCATTTTTCTTTGCGGATTCTTTGTACGATTCGTCGTGACTGTATGGTTTTCTCCGATTCAGTGACAAGTATCAACACTTTGCTTCTCAGATCTGCAAATAAACATGACATCAAATATCGACGTCCATAAAAATTAATACTGATTTTCATGAAAGGCGCAACATGGATGTTGAATCTGAATTTGTCATGTCACCAATTATAATCAATTTATAAAGATATAATAAAAAGATTAGAGTCCTGTGGTTAGATAAAACGCGGGATAAAACATAATAAGAGTAAGCCATGATATTATATAGATCATTCTTGACTTTTTCTAGCAACTGTATATCTCTTGTACCTTATATATAACAAAATATCATGTTGATGTTGAAGACTTGGCAACAATGTGCTGAATGATGAAGGCACCGCTCATAATTCGTGCGCCGGCTTGTCACGTTTCCCCTCAAATATCCTCTAGTGTGAATTGATCCCAACTAGCATTTTCAGTCACAGGCACCATGGTTCAAGAAACTATTACCTATATATAGTGATAATAACGTATTTATCACTTATTTCAGAACTTCATAGTATAAATGTCAGTGATAGTTATTTAGTGAGTGAAAATTACGTAGTTTTTACACTAGATAATAACTTCAAAGTGAGAAATTCTCATGGCTTATTACGAAGTAACTATTTCGAAACTGTCACTCCTCAAAACTCTCTTGAGGTTTCGGAACTTTGGATATATTATTACGGTAACGCTTACCACCCCAAGAAGGCTTCACAGTTGCAATTACTCTATGGTCACCAATTAGGTTTCTACGACGTTGTCGTTACTTGTTCGATCACCTAATAGTTTAGTCAATTCTTGGTGATATTTCAAGTAACATATTGGTAATTCCTACTCAAACAATTCCTTCATAGTTGAAACAACTTTCCGGTAATTATATTCAGTTGAAGTTACCAATACATAGGTTATCATAACTGACGAGTTCCAAAAGTAACTTTCTGATTCATTTTCGATTGGAAGCCATATTGATTGATGTGATAACCATTTGAACAGGAAATAATTTTGGTTTTTCTTGTTGATAAACATCATTTTATTCGTTTGATCACAAATTGCATAATAATGGAAATTAACATGATTTACGATGATTTTTGAAAAATAGCCGAATGAAATAAAACCATATTTTTGGTAAAATGAGCCGTATTTTGTGGGCGCATCTTGAATTTCGAGGCAAAATCATCACATTTATCGAAAAACTGAATGTTGTTCGAATTTTTCAAGTTCGAGTATCAATTATTTCGCGTGTTTGTCCTTGTATTATTTATTGAATGGTTAGGCATATTGGACTTGTTCATTTTTCGTGAATGTGAACTTCATGGATGAAATGAAGAATAATAAAGAGAGAAAATAATATTTTTATGAAGTGGAAAAGAAATAGAAAGTCAGGTAGGAAAATTTACTACATCTTTACGTAATTTCGACGTCGACGGGTCGTAAGCATTACGTAATTGTGTGAGTTCCCGCTACGTCGGCAAACCGTAATAATTACTCGTGATTTGTTCCCCATTTTGGTCGTAAATACGTAGTAACGACGTAATTATAACGTAACCGCAACTAGTAAATATTACTTAATAGTCGACCCAATAGTCGTAATTACGTAATCGCGACTATAAATGCTAGTTGGGATATAATAATATTATTATCAACACAAATGTATTATAAACAATGAGCCACAGCAGATGAGGGAATATTTTGAGACAATTGATTTTTATGTCTAATTTAGAATATAACCAATACAAAATTGAGAATTTATGAATTATTAAATGCCTAATATTTCCCGAGATATTTCCTAAGTTCCAATCGTATTTCAACATATGGCAACTGTGCTATGGTCTGTCCCTACTTACGAAATCGTGACGTCAGTTTTTACTCGCGGTAAATTTTTAGCCGTTTGAAAATTAAAGTGGCATTATTGTTGATCTCAGTACCTTAAAATCGAATGAAGAATTTTTAAAATATATGAAATCGTAAGTTATTTGAGTGATGATTCTATTTAAGAAATAGAAAAAAATTAATCAACTCGCCTATTTCATTTTTGTGGATGGTTCCATGGCTGTTAACAAGCAGTGTATATCACTGAAGATGACTCCACTTGGTCATAGTGTGTATACTTACAGTATATATCTACCGTTCCTGCAAATTCCGGAACCCTAACTAAACAATTACGAAAGATACAGGAATGCTTCCATTGAAAGTGAGACACACTGTGTGCAATGTTCATCTTGAGTCAATTCTGATCTTCATATCTCTTCATCTTCATCTGAAGTTTCATCTTCAAAAGTTCAAAATGAGCCTGAGATGACTGCAAAACCTAATAGTAGATTGTTTTATTAGGATCAAAAGTGACACTTTGTTTGACAAGCGAATTTTGCATTTGCGAGGCGGAGCGTTTAGCGAAGCCGAGCGAAAGCAAAACTTGCGAGTCGAACAAAGTCACTTTTGATCTGAATGAAACATGCTATTTTTTCTGCAACCGAAACAATTAACTCAAATAAACGTGTGAAGTAACCACCAATGCCGTGCCATATGTATGCAATGCAACAAATATTGACAAATAATTCATGTGGTGAGGATATTCTACCTGCATTAACAGCAGGTTAGGTTTTCTAGGATGTTGGAATTGTAGTTTCAATATAAATACAACCATGCACAGAGTGACATATTTGTGTATGGACCAGGTGCTCTAATGGCAAATACCGCGCCAGTGCCAGCTATAGGAACAAGACGTGGAAAATGTTAGGTTAGTGAGCATATCAACAATGATAATAGTGATTATTTATTCCTCTCCATACTACACTGTGTTTGACTTGATAATCAAATGAAGCTTAACAATATCGTTGTTTGAGACAAAAAACTATTGCTTGCCGTGATTATTCAAAAACAAGTTATCCATCCCGAGAAT